GGACTCTGGTGCTGCAGGAGGTGGTACCGCTGGGGGTGCTGGTTCTGGGGGTGTTGAGTGTCCTCTGGGTACAGGAGGTGCTGGAGGTACTGGTGCTGGTGGTCCTGCTACGAGTTGGCAGGAGGCTCTCTCGCCGGAGCAGCTGCGCGAGTGGGCTGTTTAGTGGGGCAGCCCTGGTGGTGGAGCTAGCCGTCTTAGAGCTGGAGGTGCTGGGACTGCTGGAGCTGGAGGTTCTGCTACTGGTGGTACTGTGGTTGCTCGTACTGGTGGCACTGTTGCACGTCGGCGGGCGACTCTCTCACCGGAGCGGCTTCGCGAGTGGGCTGTCCAGTGGGGCAGCCCTGGTGGTGGAGCTAGCCGTGCTCGCTCTACTAGAGCTGGAGGTACTGAAGGTGCCGCTGCTGTGGGTGCTGCTGCGGGTAGTCCTGGTGTGCTTCGCCAGGCGTCTCTCTCGCCGGAGCGGCTTCGCGAGTGGGCTGTCCGTTGGGGCAGTCCGGGTGGTGGCGCTGGACGTGCTGGAGCTGCTGGTTCTCGAGGTGCTAGCCCTGGAGGTGCTAGTGCTGGTGTTCCTGGTACTGGAGGCACAAGTGCTGCTGGAGGTGCTGGAGGTTCAGGTTCTGGAGGTGCTAGCCCTGGAGGTGCTGGTGCTGGTGTTCCTGGTCCCGGAGGCACAGGCGCTGCTGGAGGTACTGGAGGTGCAGGTACTGCTGGAGGTGCTGGAGGTGCTGACACTGGAGGTGCTCTTGGAGGTACTGGAGTTAGTGGTGCTAGTCCGCAGGAGTCTCTCTCGCCGCTGCAGCTTTGCGAGTGGGCTGTTCGTTGGGGCAGTCCCGGTGGTGGAGCTGGAGACACAGGTTCTGGGGGTGCTGTTGCTACTGGAGCTGGAGACACTGGTTCTGGGGGTGCTGTTGCTACTGGAGCTGGAGGCACTGGTTCTGGGGGTGCTGTTGCTACTCAGCCGTTGCCGTCTGCGCTTAGTCGCCTTCTCAGTCTCCCACCTGCTGCTACTGAGTTCCCGGCTCCTGGTACTACTCCTCCACTACTGTTCCCTCCGACTGACCAGTCTCAGCCACAGCTAATGCCTGGCTCCCCGTTGCCTGCTCCTGCTCCTCACACTGAGGTCACTGCGTCCCTGACTTAGCGTCGTGAGCCTGAGACTCGTGCGTCCACTCCTGAGCGTTGTGAGCCTGAGACTCGTGCTTCCACTCCTGTTCGCGGTCGTCGTGTTGTCCGTCCTCGTGCTCCCGCTGTGCCAGGCACTCACCGTATGGCACTTCGTCCTTCCTCTGTTCCACAGCGTGTTGTCCTGCCTTCTCCTCCTGCGTCCTCTCTTCCTCACGTTCCTGACCCTGAGTTAGACCTTTTCGTGCTGCCAGTCTGACTGTCACTCGTCTCCTTGCCACAGTTGTGACTGACCCTTCCTTTGAGTCTGCTGCTGCGTCTGCCTTAGTCACTGAGTTTGTTGACTTTGCCGCTTTGTGCCGCCTTGACTTCGCTGCGAGTCTTGTCTTTGACTCTTCTTGTCCTCCGTCCGTCGGGGGTGAGCTTGCCCTTGGTTGTGACGTCCTTGAGGACAGGCAGTTTGAGTTTGAGTGCCTCGCGGCCGCTGCACCGCATCTCGCGTCCTCGCTACTTTGCCCTGAGGGAGACCCGGATGCACCAGACATCCCGACCCCAAGCACTTACGCAGAGGCGATCACGAGTCCGTACTCCTCTCAGTGGCAGATAGCCATGGACGCAGAGATGGCTTCCTGGAAGTCCACAGGCACCTACGTCGACGACGTTCCCCCACCTGGGGCGAACATAGTCGATGGCATGTGGATTTTCAGAGTGAAGCGGCCGCCGGGTTCTCCGCCTGCCTTCAAGGCGCGTTACGTTGCTCGAGGCTTCAGTCAGCGTGAGGGGGTCGACTTCTTTCAGACCTTCTCCCCCACCCCGAAGATGACCATTCTTCGGGTGCTACTGCACGTTGCAGCACAACGCGACTACGAGCTGCACTCCCTCGACTTCTCGACAGCCTTCTTGCAGGGTAGCCTTCACGAGGCTATCTGGTTGCGCCGTCCACGTGGCTTCACTGGGTCGTTTCCTGAGGGTACCAAGTGGAGTCTTCGGCGACCAGTCTACGGCCTCCGACTGGCACCTCGCGAGTGGCACGACACTCTGAGGACTACACTTGCGGCTCTTGGCTTTGCTCCCTCGTCTGCTGACCCTTCGCTGTTTCCGCGCACAGACACTTCTCTGCCGCCGTTCTACGTTCTTGTGTACGTTGACGACTTGGTTTTTGCTACTGCTGACACTGAGGCTCTGGCCTTGGTGAAGGCGGAGCTGCAGGAGAGACACACTTGCACTGACTTGGGTGAGCTGCGGAGCTACCTTGGCTTGCAGATCACTCGGGACAGAGCACGCCGCACCATCACCCTCACTCAGTCACACATGGTGCAGCAGGTCCTTCAGCGCTTCGACTTCACGTGGTCCTCGCCACAGCCCACTCCTCTGTCTACCGGCCACTCGCTCTCAGCTCCACCTTCGGACGAGTCCGTAGAGCCGAGTGGTCCGCACCCAGAGCTTGTGGGTTGCCTCATGTACCTGATGACGTGCACACGACCTGACCTCGCGTACCCTCTCAGCCTCCTGGCTCGCTACGTGGCTCCCGGTCAGGGCTGTCGCTTGCAGGGCGTTTGCCCTGCTGGACCTTGAATTCCAGGGCTGGGTTGCCCTTGAAAACTGAAATTGATGGGTTGGAAATATTCTGGCCCTGATTCTTTACAGGGCTGATTTTGGGCTTAGGCCTGGTGTGTAAAGGGTAGAGTTTAGGCGAGCCCTGGAACAAGATCTTTCGAGCCCCCCCTTCCCCTCCCCTCCACCCCCCCCAACACTCCTCCCTCTCCTCTCCCCTTCGTTTCTAACCTGATTGCATCCAACCTGGCAAATTTCGAGTTGCGTGGTTGGGCCACAAATTCAACTCAACCTAGAACTTGTGCTTGAACCAATCACAGCTCGCTCTCTGTGGAGTGGGTGACGGGTTGGGTAGAAGTGCACACAAACTATCCTGTGGAGTGGGTAGAAGTGCGCAAGATCATCGGTTCTGCAAAGGCTAGGAAGCCTGCAAAGCGTGCGTAGTGATATGACGCTAACTAATTCTCTTTATGTCGTATTTGCTTGTGGTTCATCTCAAACGTAGTTGTAAGCTTAGTAGTTGAAATGAGGCTCCAGAATTTTCCGCGCCAAACCTGATACAAGGGAGGAAATTTTTCCAGCCCTGAAGCCTAAAGGGCCGAGATTCGCCCCAACCCTGCTAAATACAGGGTCATACATGCCGGGCCCCCTGATTTGTCCGGGAGGCCCAAAACGAAACGACAGGCCTGCTCCCGGTAGACATCGAAAGATGCACTGGGATGCTGCGAAGAGGGTATTGCGTTACTTGTGCAGCACATCGGGCATGGGGCTCGTGCTTGGAGGACGGGGTCCAGTTGTTCTCACCGGTCACTCAGACGCTTCTTGGGCTGACGACCAGACTACTCACCGGTCGACACAGGGGTACAGCTTCAGCCTCGGCACTGGTTCTGTCTCGTGGAGGTCCACTCGCTCTTCCTCTGTACTTAGTTCCAGCTGTGAGGCCGAGATCTACGCTGGGGCTATGGCTGCACAGGAGCTCTGGTGGCTGACCTACCTGCTGACCGACTTGGGTGAGCAGCCTCGTTCTACTCCAGTTTTGTACGTCGACAACAAGGACATGATTGCCTTGTGTCAGGACCAGAGACTGGAGCACAAAACAAAGTACATTGCTCTCCGTTACTTCCTCACGCGAGAGCTGCAGCAACGTGGTCAGCTTCGTCTTGCTTACGTTGCCACTCGGGCCAACACTGCTGACGTTTTCACCAAGGCCCTTGGGTCTAGTGATCATCACCGTTTCTGCAATGCTCTTGGGCTTGTGCCCACTCTGCCTCACTTGCTTGTCTCTTGATCTTGCTCTTGTTGTACACTGATATATATGAGAATACCTGCATGCTTACACTTGCTAGGTTGTGATCAGTGTACTGCTCTTTGCTATTATAAACTCTGCATGTGAACTGGCCTTGTGGCCGCTTGCTTGTGCTCAGAATGCGTGGTGACCTTGTGATCCACTCTGAGCTTTGCTTTACTTGTTCTCTTGCTTGACTGGTCTTGTGGCCGTCTGTTGTGTTTGCTATCCCCCACTTTGCCTATGGGGGTGTGTCAAATTGTATTTGCTCTGTAGGCTGTAGTGGGGCATACCCTAAAGGGTACAACACTTTAGGGTTAGGACTATACAATCCTGTACTGTCCTCATTCTAGTCATTCTTACGTTGTAACAATATAGGCATTCCAGTCGTGCATGGTACCTGCACTACAGGCAAACCGACCAATCTGACCAGTGCATTACTTATGTTTGTAGAGATGCAGCTAGTTCCATTTTCTTGTCAGTCCACTAGATTATGCCTTCTACTTAAACAACACTAGGTTCTAACCATTTGGATCCACATAATTTGGGAGATTTCAGAGTTCCCGCTCCACCTTGTACCTGCACACAAGCGTGCATACTGACCGAACCGACCAACGCATCATACTTTCTGTAGAAATACAGTGATTTTTTTTTTTTTCCTTTTCCACTAATTTAAACCATTTCACACCTCCCTACTAGGTTCTAACCTTTTGGATCTATATAATTCGGCAGATATATGTCAAATTACAATTGTATTTCCAGTCGTGCATGGCACCTGCACTACAGGCGCGCATATCAACCAAACTGACCAGCGCATTGTTTAAGGCAAGATACCTCGCACACTACGTGCTTGCCTTCAGCACAAAAACAATTGTGACCACACCCTTCTAGCAAGCCATTACACAAAGCATAAAACAGATAGCAACAGCCGTCTGCCACTGCAATTTGTGAGGAGAAAGGCTGTTGCAAAGCAGCAACAGCAACAGGAAGCAGCCTATTCAATAAGGGGAGGGGGAGACAACCCTGGCGGCATAGTGTGTCATGAGAGTGAGACGACCCGTACAGTGTGATCTGCGGAGCCAGAGGCAAAGGCGTGTGCTGTGGGGTGCCAGTCGACTGTGGTGACGGGCGCTGCATGTGTGGCCGCTTCGTGCCATACTGGGTGGGAGAGACGCAGCTGCATGGAGGGCACGAGAGGGGACGGGGAGGGGTGTCCGGGAGGAGAGGGGAAGGAAGATGGGAGCATGGGATATGGGGTGCTGAGTGATGACGGCGGTGGTGTTGAGAGGGATTGATGGAAGAGGAAAGGTGTATGAGGGAAGGAGGAGAGAGGAGTTGGAGGTGGGTGCGAAAATAGTGGTGAAGAGAAGGTGACGATTGATATTCTTTTCAACTTTGGATCTCAAGACGGTGATGATTTAGGGGAGGAGGGAGGGCAGCGAGAGGTAGAAGTGAAAGTAGAGAGAGAGGAGCGAGGGGAGAGCGGAGAAAAGGAGAAGAATGGAAAGAGAAGAGACATCAGTGAGAGCGGAGAGCAAGAGACGGGGCACATACATCGAGGAGTTGGGGTGAGTGGGAGGAGGAGGTGGTGAGGAGGTGCGATCCCTGCGAGTCAATGGCTAGCTCGTGAGGCAGCAGGAGCGAGCGCGCTGAGAGCAGCGGCACGCGTGGGGAGAGCACTGGGGACTGGCTCTCGGAGTGGGAGTGGGAGTGAGAGCCCGCACTGCCTTGGGTGGATGGGGCTGGCCCTGTGTTGCCCGGTGGGTGCATGCAGTAACTGCCAGGGGCACACACAGAGACGAACGAAAAGGCAGAGACATGCATACAGATGAAGGGGACCATGGGAAGAGAGGATGGGAGAATGAGAGTATGAAAGGACGCGAGGAGCAGGGTTGAGATAGGGTTGGGATGGGGAGGTTCGCACCTGGATGCATCGAAGTGGCGCAACAGCTGGCCCTGCTGGTGCAAACTCCACTCCGTTATCTGCCATGTTGGGTGCGGAGAGGACACAGAGAGTGTGCATGGAGACAGTGGTGCACTCCTCCACTGGAACTAGCTCAAGGGCGGAGAGTTAGTGTAGGCGGGGAGGGGGGAGGAACACGGACAGAACACGGACACGAGTAGAGCGAGGGAGGCGAACAGCGATGAACTTGACTATGGGGCAGGTGTGGAGAGATGCAGGGGCACGGAGGTGGGGAGGGGAGAGGAGGCAGGTGGTGAGGAGGTGGGTGGAAGGAGGGAGAAGCGGAGGACTGACCTGGCCTGAAGCGGAGAGTGAGAAGAGCGAGGAGTGGTCCCAGAGGAAGCGCACACAGACAGCGGGGGAGAGGGGGTGCGCGGAGGAGGAGGAGGAGGAGGATGATGGGGAGGTGCCTGGCAGGGTGACTGGCCAACATGCGATCTGGGATGCTGCATTCACGTCTGCAGGCAGAGGGGTGTGTTGGGGAGGGGTGCAAGGGACAGAGACACCAGAGACACTCAAATAAAGGTGTGTAGTGATGGGTAAGGGACAGGTGGGGCCAGGCAAGTTAGGGGAGCGAGAGGAGCAACAGCGGAGGGCAGCTAATAGGAATGGGAACGGAAACTGGTTGTGTTGCATTGAAAAATCGGGTGGGTTGCACGCGGTCTGATTTTGACGTGTCCCAAGCCAAGAACAGTTACCAAAGAGTCTGAGGGTGCCGTCAGCAGCAGCAGCAGCGAGCATTCTTCCGTTGTGGTTGAGGCAGATGGATGTGATGAGTGGAGGCGATTCTCCCAGTGGCAGATAGCCCTGTGCGCACGCAGCATGCAAGGGATGGACGAAGGAAGATAGTCAGACGTTTACCATGTGGCAGCCCTGAGTGATTCTCACAAGGGATGGACGAAGGAAGATAGTCAGACGTTTACCATGTGGCAGCCCTGAGTGATTCTCACAAGGGATGGACGAAGGAAGATAGTCAGACGTTTACCATGTGGCAGCCCTGAGTGATTCTCACAAGGGATGGACGAAGGAAGATAGTCAGACGTTTACCATGTGGCAGCCCTGAGTGATTCTCACAAGGGATGGACGAAGGAAGATAGTCAGACGTTTACCATGTGGCAGCCCTGAGTGATTCTCACAAGGGATGGACGAAGGAAGATAGTCAGACGTTTACCATGTGGCAGCCCTGAGTGATTCTCACAAGGGATGGACGAAGGAAGATAGTCAGACGTGGACCATGTGGCAGCCCTGAGTGATTTTCACAAGGGATGGACGAAGGAAGATAGTCAGACGTTTACCATGTGGCAGCCCTGAGTGATTCTCACAAGGGATGGACGAAGGAAGATAGTCAGACGTTTACCATGTGGCAGCCCTGAGTGATTCTCACAAGGGATGGACGAAGGAAGATAGTCAGACGTTTACCATGTGGCAGCCCTGAGTGATTCTCACAAGGGATGGACGAAGGAAGATAGTCAGACGTTTACCATGTGGCAGCCCTGAGTGATTCTCACAAGGGATGGACGAAGGAAGATAGTCAGACGTGGACCATGTGGCAGCCCTGAGTGATTCTCACAAGGGATGGACGAAGGAAGATAGTCAGACGTTTACCATGTGGCAGCCCTGAGTGATTCTCACAAGGGATGGACGAAGGAAGATAGTCAGACGTTTACCATGTGGCAGCCCTGAGTGATTCTCACAAGGGATGGACGAAGGAAGATAGTCAGACGTTTACCATGTGGCAGCCCTGAGTGATTCTCACAAGGGATGGACGAAGGAAGATAGTCAGACGTTTACCATGTGGCAGCCCTGAGTGATTCTCACAAGGGATGGACGAAGGAAGATAGTCAGACGTTTACCATGTGGCAGCCCTGAGTGATTCTCACAAGGGATGGACGAAGGAAGATAGTCAGACGTTTACCATGTGGCAGCCCTGAGTGATTCTCACAAGGGATGGACGAAGGAAGATAGTCAGACGTTTACCATGTGGCAGCCCTGAGTGATTCTCACAAGGGATGGACGAAGGAAGATAGTCAGACGTTTACCATGTGGCAGCCCTGAGTGATTCTCACAAGGGATGGACGAAGGAAGATAGTCAGACGTTTACCATGTGGCAGCCCTGAGTGATTCTCACAAGGGATGGACGAAGGAAGATAGTCAGACGTTTACCATGTGGCAGCCCTGAGTGATTCTCACAAGGGATGGACGAAGGAAGATAGTCAGACGTTTACCATGTGGCAGCCCTGAGTGATTCTCACAAGGGATGGACGAAGGAAGATAGTCAGACGTGGACCATGTGGCAGCCCTGAGTGATTCTCACAAGGGATGGACGAAGGAAGATAGTCAGACGTTTACCATGTGGCAGCCCTGAGTGATTCTCACAAGGGATGGACGAAGGAAGATAGTCAGACGTTTACCATGTGGCAGCCCTGAGTGATTCTCACAAGGGATGGACGAAGGAAGATAGTCAGACGTTTACCATGTGGCAGCCCTGAGTGATTCTCACAAGGGATGGACGAAGGAAGATAGTCAGACGTTTACCATGTGGCAGCCCTGAGTGATTCTCACAAGGGATGGACGAAGGAAGATAGTCAGACGTTTACCATGTGGCAGCCCTGAGTGATTCTCACAAGGGATGGACGAAGGAAGATAGTCAGACGTTTACCATGTGGCAGCCCTGAGTGATTCTCACAAGGGATGGACGAAGGAAGATAGTCAGACGTTTACCATGTGGCAGAGAGCCCTGTGTGCACGCAGCATAGGGACACCTTTTTAAAGACCGCTTTTGGGGACAATTTTTTAGGAGACTGACAAGACACACACTGCACAGATGAAGCAACTCACAGAATGATGTATGCATGCATGTGTGAAGCGTACCTGGAGCGACATGGTGCGGAGGCTCCAGAGAGATATGCAGCCATAAGGTGTGGGTGGGGGGACTTTGAGACGACTCACCAGTCACGTTACAGTCGACTGACAAAAACGCTAGGTTTACTGAACGTTTTTTACAAGACACTTTGGAGCTGGGTCAGGAGGGTGAAGCGCACCTGGAGTGACATGGTGCGGAGGCTCCAGAGAGATATGCATCCATAAGGTGTGGGTGGGGGAAGTGGTTGACGGGCCGATTACGCACGCTGGGGACTGAGAGGCCAGGAAGAGTGCCCGGATTCCATTGGGGCATGTGTGGGTTGGAGGATGCGCAGTGGGGGATGGGGGGTTGGGGATGGGAGGGGATTGTGAGTGGGGATTGCAGAAAGTAGGGGAAGAGGAGAGGGTGGGTGGAGTGTGGTTGACGAAGGGCCGATGCAAGTGCGTGATTTAGAGAAGGATGAGCAGAGAAAAGGGCGAGGAAAGGAGGGAGTATGAGACTCACGTGGGTTGGAGAGATGATGTGAGGGGTGGAGAGTGGTGCTGGTGGTCGAAGGCTGCTGCAGCACATGCAAAGAGGTGCTCTGTTGGGCTGGAACGAATGTCCAGCAGTCTGCAGGGCAGGCAGCACGTGCACACACACAGGGGGGGCAACTGCTGAGTTGAGTAACAACTCCGCACACACAGAGAGTGTGCACACACAGAGAGTCGAGAAGATGCACACACACAAGCATGCACGCAAGCATGGCTGACCGTGCTGCTCAAACGGAAGGGGTTCTTTCAGGCGACTCACGAACAGCAGAGAGCAATCGAGCTGCTCAGAGATGCCAGCCAAAGTGTTCAGAAGTCGCCTCACATCTGCACGTGCGGGGCGTACCTGGTGTAGGGCGGTGGGTGCGGGGCGTACCTGGTGTAGGGCGGTGGGTGCGGGGCGTACCTGGTGTAGGGCTGTGGGTGCGGGGCATACCTGGTGTAGGGCGGTGGGTGCGGGGCATACCTGGTGTAGGGCGGTGGGTGCGGGGCATACCTGGTGTAGGGCTGTGGGTGCGGGGCGTACCTGGTGTAGGGCGGTGGGTGCGGGGCGTACCTGGTGTAGGGCTGTGGGTGCGGGGCATACCTGGTGTAGGGCGGTGGGTGCGGGGCGTACCTGGTGTAGGGCTGTGGGTGCGGGGCATACCTGGTGTAGGGCGGTGGGTGCGGGGCATACCTGGTGTAGGGCGGTGGGTGCGGGGCATACCTGGTGTAGGGCTGTGGGTGCGGGGCGTACCTGGTGTAGGGCTGTGGGTGCGGGGCATACCTGGTGTAGGGCTGTGGGTGCGGGGCATACCTGGTGTAGGGCTGTGGGTGCGGGGCATACCTGGTGTAGGGCTGTGGGTGCGGGGCATACCTGGTGTAGGGCTGTGGGTGCGGGGCGTACCTGGTGTAGGGCTGTGGGTGCGGGGCGTCAGAGAGCATGTGCTTGGAGTGTGCGTTCCACACCTTCACATGCCCGTCTGCCAGCCCTGCCAGCAGCTGTTGCCACACATGCATCATGCGCACAGAGAAAGAGAGAGACTTGAAGTGTGAGGCGATTGGTGGAGTCTCTCAAAGCCAAGCATAGTGGGGAAGGGAAGGGTTGGGAGAGTTTAGCAGGTGGGAGTGGTATGCGGCGCATGTGAACGCTGGTGCCATTCTTGAGGCGCCTCAAAGATCACCGCATGTGGACGCTAGTGCAATGGGTGTGCGTGCGTGCGTACGCGAGCATGGGTGTCTGTCTGTCTGTCATCACTTGCGAGTGGGCTTCCTTAACATGTGCGTATGCACGCACGCACGCACGCATGCATGCATGTACATGCATGAGCGCATCGTACCAGGCGGTCGGAGTTGGCATCCCATTCAAGAGCCTGCACGGGAGCATCCCCCTCCCCCAGAATAGCCGCGTCCCTCTGCCCCCGCACCACCACTTTTGAGAATTCTCAAAAGTTATTTCAATTCATCGTACCAGGCGGTCGGACTTGGCGTCCCACTCAAGGGCCTGCACGGGAGCATCCCCCAGGATCGCCGCGTCCCTCTGCCCCCGCACCACCACGCCAGCCCCACCCCGCCCCTCCGCTGCTCCCTCTGAAATCTCCGGCTCCCATATTCTGCACCACCATGGGTGATGGGCGTGTTGAGGTGTGAGGGGGGTCAATGAGTTATGGATAGAGACGACGGGAAAGGTGACTTGTGTGAGTGAGAAACAGAGAACATTCCAGCTCCCATATTCTGCACAATGGGTGATCGGCAGTTGAGGGTTAGTGAATGGAGCTTTGCGGGTTGGACTTGCAGCGGAAACAGGGGGCACTGCTGCTGCAGGGAATAGCGGTGAGAGGTGGCATGTGGCAGGGTGTGGCATGTGGGAGGCGCAGCAAAGAGGCAGAATGAGCAACTCGGAGCGGAGCGAGAATGAGAAGAATGAGAGTGAGCAGCAGCTGTGGGATGGGATGGGAATGAGTGTGCGGACCTGATACTGCCATCGGCAGAGGCGCTGGCGATGTTGGCGCCTGAAGGGGAGAAGCGGCAGCGGGTGATGGGCCCTGCATGCGCTGCGTACACCTCCTGTGCTCCATACCATGCCATGCCATGCCGTACCATGAATACAAAAAAGGAGGTTGAGGAGAAACAAGGATGGAAGCCGGGAGGGGGGGTTGGGGGGGGGGGAAGGCAGGGGAAAGGGTACAAGAGGTGCTCTGACAGGGCTGCTTGCAACGCAGGACAATCCCGGAAATAGCATGGCAGAGACGGAGGAGGTATACACAGACATATGGAGGGGGGCTGCTCCGCAGAGCAGCAGAGGGGTGTGTTGCGCTGCGCACAACGAGGCACGTGTGTGTGTGCACATTTTACAACCTACCCCGCATACACTGCATCACAGCAGGAACTACCTGCGACTCTGCATGCAACATGCCGTCACCAGCGCGTCCCTCCTCCTCCCTTGCTTCTGCCATCTCCCATGCAGCTCCGCCGCTCCCACCTCGCCCCCTCTTCCCTCCTCGTCCTTCCACCACCCCTCCTACCCTCACGTCATCCCTTCCACTCACACCGTTCTCAGAGTGTAATGCCCTGCTACCTGCCTCGCCCCTCCCTTCCACTGCACCATGCCTTTCCCTGTCCTCTCGCACTCCTTCCCCAGCCGTTCCACCTTCCGCTCTCCCCGCTTGCACCCCTCGCTCCGCCTCCATCCCCGCCCTATCACCTGCCTCCGCGCCTTGCGTCACAAGCCCCCCCACCCAGACCACCCCTGGCCCTCCAGCCCTTACTCTCTCCCCCAACACCGCTTCTAACCCACCCTGTGCCTCCCTCTCTTCCGCCTTCCCCCCATCCCTCTCCGCACCACCACCCGCTTCCTTCTCCCCCCCCCCCGCCCCACCCGCTGCTGCACTAACACTGCCACTGCTGCCACTGCCACTGCTGCTGCTGCTCCTGCCCTGGCTGCCAGCAGCACTAGCACCAGCAGCACTGGTGGTGCCTGGGAGAAGAAGGTTGGCCTGTCTGGCGTTCTTGATCTCGCGAGAAAGGGCAACCAGCGACATGCTGCCTCCCCCCACCATCGCTTGCACCGCCACTGCCCTGCTCCCGGTATTACTCCCACTTGTGCCACTGCCGCTGCTGCCACTCCTTCTGCTGCCACCGCTGCTGCTGCCACTACCAGCACTGCTGCCACTCTCCCCGTGCTCACCTGCTCCAGCCGCCACAGCAGCAGCAGAAGTTGCAGGGAGAAGCGGTGGAGCAGTAACGGATGAGGCAGCATGGCTGGCGGAACTACTGGCATCACTCACCATGCCCGCGCTACCCTGCTGCTGGGCCCCAGGACCCCCATTCTTGGCCTTCCCCCACCCCTGCCTCCGCCCAAACCACCCCTCCACCATACCCACCACGCCCGTCCCCCCCACAGCCGCTGTCGCAGCGGTAGCAGTTGTATGAGCAGGAGGAGCGGCAGTTGCATCACCATCACCATGGGTTGGAAGCTGCCCTGTGTTAGCACCCGCATCAGCAGCTGTAGCATCGGCAGCACTTGTAGTGTCAAAAGCAGGAGCAGGAGTGTGAAAAGCTGAAGGAGCCTCACCACGCCCTACCTTCTCACCTGCTGCTGTATACTCTCCTGTTCCCCCCCACGCCCCAGCTTCCCCACCCACCCATTTATCCCTCCCACCGTCCACGTCCCCGCCTGCTCCCCTTGCCTCCGATCGCTCCTTGCCTGCCTCTCCCCTCCCCCCCTCTGCTGCACATCCTGCTGCTGCTGATAATGATGCTGCTGCTGCTGTTGCTTCTGGCAACAAGGGAGATTGCACAGGCAAAGGGACCGGTGATGGGGGGAATGTAGGGGGAGGAGACGTGTGGAGGGTTGGAGGGGCGGCAGAGGTGGAGGGGGCATGGGAGGGGTGGTGGTGTAGATAGGTGGAGAAGGGTGCAGTGGGAAAGAGAGGGTCTTCATCCGGAGCCAAAGTTTGGAGCTTTCTGAAGGTAATGGGTGATGGAGTGGGGTGGAGATGGGTGGGAGGAGAGAGGGAGAGGGAAGAGAGGCAAGGGAGAAATCAGGGAAACAAGGGGAGCCGATTGGATGACAGAAAGGAAAGGCGAGCGAAGAAACGTAGAAGAGAAGGAGGGGTGATGAGGGAAAGTTTGCGGGCAGTGATGTGCATGCAAGAGAGAAAAGATGGCGTAACGCATCGCAAATACCTAACAGACAGCAGGAAACGGAAAGGGGATGGAAAGGAAAGGGAGAGGGGATCGAGACGGGACGGAGACGGAGGAGAGGGGAGGGAGCGAGGTGGAAGAAAGAGCGGAGGGGTCCGAGAAGGAGAGGGGAAGTCCAGGGGAGAGAGGGTTGGGCGGCTGACTGGCGGAGCAGGGAAAGGTCTTTGTCGCGTGCGCGCAGCAGCAGGCGCAGGCGCGCGATCTGGCGCTGTGCATGGTCGTTGGTTGCCAGCAGGTGGTGCGCTCGCCTCTGCTCCTCACAGAAGCGCAGCAGCGCCGGCTGCTGCGGCCTCGACGAGCCTTGTGTTGGGGCCAATCGATCGCACCGGTGAGAGTTGGAGGGAGAGAGGAGGGGACGTGCGGAGTTAAGGAGCACATGGGTAGTGGGAGTTGAATGGTTGAAGGGTTGGTGCAGTGCGGTTCAGTGAGATTCAGTGCAGTGGAGTACAGTTGGGAAAGTGAGGGACAAGAGGCATGTCTGCCTAACAGGGCGACTTATGAGGAGATTTAGAAAAAAACAGCACGCAGCAGAACGGAAAGTGGGTTGTGCGTGGCATGGGAAAGAGACTGATAAGATTGGGTTTAGACAAGGATGACAGAGACGCAACGTGAAGCTAAGGGTGTGAAGGGACGTGAAGGGACGTGAAGGGACGTGAAGGGACGTGAAGGGACGTGAAGGGACGTGAACGGACGTGAACGGACGTGAAGGGACGTGAAGGGACGTGAAGGGACGGGCGAGAAGAGACGGGACGGGAAGGAGAGCGAGCGAGGCGTGGGCAGGCGGGTGGGTGGGTGGAGGTGAGGTGGGCGGGATATGGAGCGAGTGGAAGAGGCGGTGCAGGAAGTTGGTGAGCGAGGCGGTGAGGCTGTCCGCCCACTCGGGGGTGAAATACACAGCCAGCACCGGGTGCTGCTCCGGATGCCTCATGTATGGCGCCGCTGGTTGGGGGAAGGGGAGGGAAGGGAGCAGGGACGGGGGAAGGGAAGGGGGGCAATGGGTTTGAAGCTGTCCGCCCACTCGGGGGTGAAATACACCGCCAGCACTGGATGCTGCTCCGGATGCCGCATGTACGGCGCCGCTGGTTGGGGAGAGGGGGGTGCATGGGGTAAGAGGAAGAGGAGGAGCGAGGGTTGAAAGGAAGGGAGAAGGGAGGGATGGCAACGGGTGAAGTGAATTAGACCGCCAGTGCCGGGTGCTGCTCCGGATGCCGCATGTACGGCGCCGCTGGTTTGGGGGATTGGGGAAGCGGCATGGGGTGAGGGAGAGGGAAGAGAGGGGCATGGGGTGTGAGGGAGGGAGGGGGGCTTGGCGGAGGGACGGGGGGGTATGTGAAAGGATGTGGTGTGAGAGGGAGTGGTGAAAAGGAAGGGGTGAATGGGAGGTGTGCGCCAGGCAAGCACAGGCAGTGCGGCAGCATGGCATGAGTGCTCTGTGTGGTAAGGCAGGAGGGCAGGCCCTGCACGCTGCAGCAGGGCAGGACAGGGTATGGCGTGATGAGATGTGAATGCAGCACGCGCCATGGCATTGTCCTGCCCAGTCACCAACTCTCAACGCTGTTAAGTTACCAGGATACCTTACCACGTTACCACACCACACGAGCAGGCCGTACCGAACCAGAGCGTCCAGTCATGGGGCGCGGTCATGAGCAGCGCCTGCACGCTCTCCCCCATGTCCTCCAGCACGCGCACCACCTCCGCGCGCCTGCCCGCGCGCATCGCGGTGACCATGAACAGCCGCTGCACGCCCATCTCCAGCTCCTCCAGCGCCGCGCAGCTCGCGCCGTCCGCGCGCGCCAGGAAGCGCTGGCGGAGCACCAGGAAGAGGCGCGCGAGCGCGCGCCAGTCCAGCGCGGGGATGACCTCGCGCATGATGTGATGCACCACGCGCTGCGCCTGGGGACGGGCGCGCGGGGGGCGCGCGGGGGGAATGGCGGAAGGGCCGGGGAGGATGGGTTACGGGAGGAGTGGGAAGTGGAGCGGCGGGCGGGCGGAGGAAAGAATTGGGCGACATGCGGCAAGTTGCGCGGGGATGGCGGAAGCGCGCGCGGAGCGAAGCGCGCGCATTACCTGGGGCGGTTGCAGCTTGTCCGCGGCAAGTTCCGCCTCGAAGGCCGCTAGCGTGTGCGCGAATCCGCGGAAAACCAGCAGCTCGCGCACGAGATCGTCCGCGTACGCCATGGGATCCATTCCGCCACTCCGCGCACTGCGCGCAGCAGCGCAGGGAATCAGGCTCGCGGAGAGGCTAGAGCGGAGCGTTGCGCGGGCTGCTACACATGTAGCAGATACAAGATAGGCGGCGGAGAGGATGGAGCGCGCTGAGAGTGGGGAGCGGAAGGCGGAGGGGGGAATTTAGGATTTGAGCAGAAAAGGAACAGAGGCTGCCTGTAAAGGGAACGTAATCCCTAATCCATGCGTGAACCTCGAGGAATGCACCGCAGAGGCTTGACTTTACGAATGCCTGCGCCGCCACCCCAAGCACCAGCCTGCAGTGTAACTACCAGCCTACTACGGTACTACCCGATTGGCCCCTAATTATCATGTGTGTCGTTACGTATAGTACATAAGTTACAATATATGTATAACAAGCGCTATCCATGGGATTCCTATAGCATTACTGCTACGAGTGTCTTACTTCTGAATTGCGTGATAATCATCCGCAATGGGTTTCTGCGCTTAGGGGCTGTACATTCTTTGCGTCGCGGTGCGAAACGTTTGAAGATTAGGAGCCGCTTTCCACCGTGTAGGAACGACCTAAACCACGATGAATGAACGAGCAGTGAAGGAAGGGATGGTGGAGACCCCTTCCGCAAAACACCTTTGGGGATCCTTGGAAGGTGACGTGAACTGAAGTCCAACCTACGGTAATGCCCGATTTTCAGTGGTACACGGTCTGATCATTTGCGATACTGCTTATAATGCACCGTTTGCTCTCACCTTATAGTCAGTTGTTTAATCAATAACCACCTGAACAATCCATCAACATACGGTATCCAAATTGGCCCCTATAATCCTTAGGGCCTTCATACATCTAGAGGCCTTACCACCCTACCAGAGGAAGCCAACAAACCCATGCCTGTTGGCTACTTGACAGCAGCCGTCCCCCCCCCTTTCCTAGCAATCCGAATCTGTCAGCAAGGAGGCGCCACTACGCTGCAACTTTTGACTTTTGAGATGTCTCATAATGTCTCACGATACTAGCAAGGAGATGCCACACGCGCTGCGAAGGACTCGGCTGGTGGCTGGCGATGGGGTGGAGACTGCTGGGGGCTGGATGATGGGTCTGGGTGTCCGTCTTGCTCCTGTGACTCATGCCCATGCTCATGCCCAAGCCCATGCCTATCCTCATGCCCATGCCTATCCTCATGCCCATGCCTATCCTCATGCCCATGCCTATCCTCATGCCCATGCCTATCCTCATGCCCATGCCTATCCTCATGCCCATGCCTATCCTCATGCCCATGCCTATCCTCATGCCCATGCCCATCCTCACGCCCATGCCCATCCGCGTACGCATGCCCCTCCACATGCTGAATCGGACTGTCACGGGGGCGATCAGCATGCAGGGCAGGTGGAGGCGATGTGGCACCATGCAGCTGCTCACTAACCATGCCATCTGGGCCATCCGTGCCATCTGGGCCATTCAGGTCATGCACCTGCCGCCCCTCCTCGCCACTCCATCCACTACCCTCGCCATCCTCCCCATGCACTCCGTCTTCATCCTCATCCTCATCTCCATACCCACGCCCGTGCCCATCCCCGTCCCCATCTTTATCCCCATCCCCGTCCCCATCCGTATCCCCATCCCCATGCTCATGCCTATCCTTATCCCCATCCCCATCAGTATCCCCATTCCCATGCTCGTCCCCATCCCCATTCCTATCCCCATCCCCATTCCTATCCCCATCCCCATTCCTATCCCCATCCCCATCCCCACTCCCATCCCCATGCTCACTCCCATCCCCATCCCCATCCCCATCACCTACCCTCTCGTCCCCACCGCTCTCATCACCACCCGACCCTTCCACTTCTCTACCACTCGGCATGCTCTCCTGAGTGCTGCCCTGCGTGCCCTGCTGCCCGCTCTGCTGCTGCTGCTCACCCAGAGCACCTGCTGCATCTTCTCGCACGCGACCTGCTTCCCCTTCCCCCCCCACTCCACCATCCCGCTCTGCCTGCACTGCCCTCCCTCCCTTCTCCCTCTCACCACCACTACTGCCCGTCCCGTCTCGCTTCTTCTTCTTCCCCTCCACTGCCTCCCCCTTCCTCCTCTCCTCCTTCTCCCTCTTCTTCTTTAGCTTCTTCTCCTCCTTCCGCCGCCGCTTCCTCTCCTTATGCTCTGCTTCTGTCTCCCCCTCCCTCATCTCCCGCTTTTTCTTCTTCCTCTCACTCTCTTCCTTTTCCTTCTTCCCGTCACGCTTACTCTTCTCCTTATCCCTCTCCTTCTCCTTATCCTTACCCTTATCCTTACCCTTATCCTTACCCTTATCCTTACCCTTATCCTTCTCCTTGTCGCTCTCCTCGTTTGATTGCGTCCCACTGCTCGTCCTGTCCGCCCGCCCATGATCCCCCTCCTCTCTCTTCTTCTTGCTTCGCTTCTCCTCATTATCCCTTGTCCCTTGACTGCCCCTCTCCCCCTTCCCCTCCTCCGCTCCATGTGCACCGCCACCAACAGCACCACCAACCCCACCTATCTCACCACCACTGCTCCTCGCGCCCCCGTCCTTGCTTTCCTTCTCCGCAGCTTTTGCACCGTCCCCCCTTCCCTCACTACCTCCCTTCTCCCCCACTCCTTGATCCCCTTCGCCCCTCTCCTTGTCGTTCCCTGCAACCATCTGCTTCCTCTCCTCCTCACCCTCCCCACCTCTCTCAACCCCTCCTTCCTCCCTCTCACCGCATATCCCTGCCTCCCCGCCCTCCCGCTCCTTTCCTCCTGGCGAAATTTCTTTCCCCCCATCTCCCTCCCCTTCCCCTTTGCCCTGCTCTACCCCCTCCGCCCATGCACTCATCCGCCCCCCCACACTCCCGCTCCTCCCCTCCACGCCATGGCTCCCCGCACTCGCCTCCCCACTGCCTTTCCCCAATCCCGCTCCTGCTCCCCCTCCCCCTCCCCCTCCCCCTCCCCCTCCGCCTTCCTCTCCCCCTCCCCCTCCCACACTCCTCTCCCCCATCCCTCCTCCAAAGCTCTCACTGCTCCGCTCACTCCCCCTTGTCTTCCCCCCCCTCCCCCTAACCGCCCCTGGCATCCCCCCCCCATCCCCTGCCCCTGCCCCAAGCCCTGATACGCCTCCTCCCCGCCCCACCTCCCCCTGAGCATGCCCCGCCTCCCCCCCTGCCCCTGCCATAGCGCCACTGCTACCTGCTTCCGCACTAGCAGCAGAAGAGGGGGATGCTGCTGCTTTGAACCTCAGCTTCACTTTCCCCACCCTCGCCTCCTCCACCCCTCCCCGTGACCCTCCTCCCCCTGCCTCCCCACCACCACCCACACCACCCACAGCACCCACCCCACCCACCACACCCGCCGCCCCTGCTTCCCGCGCTTCCCCTCCCCCTGCTCCCCCCACGCTCCCCGCTCCGCCCTTTGCCCCCACGCTGCCCGTGCTGGTAGTGCTTCCCCCCGCCCCTCCCCCCGGGGTGAGCCTCAGGCGAATGGGCTCCAGGCGGGGGGGAGGGGGAGGGGGAGGGGGAGCGGGGCGGGGGAGGCGCACAGTAAGAGACACCCCTTCAGGCCGTCTAGTGGCCCCAGCACTAAGGGATGATCCCCCTGCTCCTAACGAAACCCCTGCTCTCATACCCCCTCCTCCTCCTGCTCCTGCTGCTGCAGCAGTGCCTGCTACCCCTGCTCGTATGGCCGCTGCTGCTGCTGCCTCTGCTCGTGTGTAGAGGTGTGGGGGGCGGTAGAGAGAGGAGGGGAGGTTTGCGAGGGAGGAGAGGAGGGAGAAGAGCGCGTGGCGGAGAGGAGGGGAGGAGAAGGCGTGAGGCGAGGAGAGGGAGGCGACAAGGCGATGTAACACCCCTGCTGACACCACTAGCCCTGCTCCCCTTCCTCCTCCCCTTCCTTCTCCCCGTCCTCCTCCCCCTGCAACGTCTCCTCCTCCCCCCCCTCCTCCCCCCTGTCCCCATGTCGCTCCAAGCACTGCAGCAGACCAAGGCATCCCTCCTCCGCTCCTCCTCCGACCACCCTCCCTGCTCCTCCCACCGGCAGCCCCGGCAGACGCAGGGCGGGACGGGGACGGGGATGGCAGGGCGACAGAGGGAGCACCCAGGAGAGCGCAGAGGTGGCGGATGGAGGGGCAGGAGTGGGCGAGAAGCTTCACTCTCACACGGAGAGACGGGTCGGCATGGGAACCCACAGTCACATGCAGCAGCAGACGCAGGAGTGGGTCTAGGGAGACCGGCTCGAGTGCGCGAGCCGGCGGGAGTGATTCAGAGAGGGGTTTGTGAGAGGTGGTGGTGGTGGCGGTGGTGATGGTGGCGGTGGTGGTGGTGTGGGATAGCAGCTCGTGCATGTACACGTCTACTAGGCAGCAGAGGGCTGCTAGGCGCACGGGGGGAGGCGGGAGCACTGGCAGCAGCCGCGGAAGCTGCTCCCGCTTCTCCCTTCTCTTCCTCCTCCGTTTCCTCCTCCGTTTCCTCCTCTCCCTGTCGCTGCTACTGTCGCTGTCGCTGCTATCGCTGCTCCCGCCACTGCTGCTGCTGCCACTGCTACCGCTGCTACTATCACTGCTGCTACCACACCCCCTCCTCCCACCATCACCTGATCCTCCCCCTACCCCATTCCCAACCACACCCATCCCTCGCCCTCTTCCCACCTCCTCCTCCCCGTCCTTCCCCCACCGCCCTTCGCCTTTCCCCCACAGCTCCCCCTCCCCACACCGCACATACCTCCCGGCATGACTGAGCAACAGCGAGCGCAGCGCAGGGAGGTCGCAGGCGGACGGGGGCAGCGAGAGCGAGAGGTGCGTGAGGGCGTGCAGGCAGGAGGCGGACACGCGGCGGAGGGAGGAGGGGAGGATGCGGTCAAAGGAGAGGTAGCGCTGCAGCTGCTGCACCACTCGGGCTGCCAGCACGGGGGTAATGCTCATCCCTGCTGCGCGCCATTCCCCTTGTAGCGCCGCCTGTGCGTGTGCGTGTGCGTGTACCGTGTGGGGAGCGCCAGCGGCGGCAGCACTGCCGGTGCCAGATCTGCAAAGGAAGTGGTCAGGCGAGAGTTTCAGCGACGCAATGGCAGAGATGACCGCAGAGAGAAAGTGCGAGTCATCCCACGCGTTGCGCGAGTTATCATTGTGCAGAAGCAGCGAGAGCAGGAACGACACCGCTGCCACGGGGGAGCACCCCCGCGCATCCCTCACTGAGGCCACTGCCGCCGGGATGCAGATTTGGACAAAGTACTCCGCCCAGTCGGTGAAGTCGTTGCAGCGGGGGAGGCCTGTGAGCGGGTCGAAGAACCGGTCCTTGTAGAAACGTAGCAGGAGCTCCAACCCTGGGAGAGCACTGCTGCTGCTGCCGCTGCCACCGCCGGTCCCACCACCAGTCCCGATGGTGATAGTAGTCGTGGTGGTGGTGGTAGTGGTGGTACCGGCAGTGCCGGGGGGGGTCTGCGGTAGAGCAGGGGAAAGGTCTGTCGCGTTGGCAGCAGCAGCGGGGGGGAGAGAGGGCGACGGGGAGGACGGAGCGAAGGAGGCGGCAGTGCAGCAATGCGCGAGAGCCAGCGCTGCATCAGCACGCACCCGACAGAACACAGAGGCATCACAGAGACACGCCAAGAGCGCACTCGCTGCCGCCACATCCCCCACCGCCTGCAGCGCTGCCACAGCTGCGGTCTGTGCCGTCACGTCTCGGTCACGAGCGAGCATGGCGGTCCACATGGGGACGGGTTGGGAGAGGCGCATGTGAGCTAGATACTCCCTGTCTGGATCCGCCCTCATCCATAGCACCGGCATGTCTCCTCCCCCGCCCTTCCCCTCCCCGCTCGCACCTCCACCTCCCGCTCCTCCCCCTCCTCCTGCCCCTCCTGCTGCCGCCGCGTCTGCCCCTGCGCCCGCCTCCTCTTCCCCTGCCCCCGGCGGCCCCCCTGCGCCTCCCCCGGCTCCTTTCTTCCCGGCCTGCGCCACGCGCCGCAGCGCCAGCTTCGAGTGGCAGGGGAGCTCCAGAAGCAGACAGCTGTCGCCGCCCAGCGGCAGGCACGGGTGGTCAAAATGCCCCTCTGGTTCCTGCACTCTAATGCTCACCATCCCCGCCCATCCCAACTCGTCCACCAGACCTCCAAACTCCCCTCCCGCGCCCGCCCCCCCACCCTCCCCGCCTGCCCCCCCGTCCCTCCCAACGCCACCAGCGGCAGCAGCAGCGGCGGTGGCGGAGGGGGGCAGGGGAGGAGCGTCAGGTGAGGAGGAGAGAGCAGTGAGATCAGGCCGTGCCGTGGCTTCTCTCCTAGCAGCCAGCTCGATCACATTCCGCCGCCGCACGTATGCAAACGCGAGCGACAGGCGCGGGCACCCCGGAGAGTGCAACCAGCGCGGAAAAAAGTCCTTCAAAAAGGGCTTCTCCAAGTTCCCGACTTTGTTAGCTAAGTGCCGGAACTGCGCGGTGCTTAGCGAGCGGAGCCGCCGGGAGGTGGCCTGCGAGCGGAGCATGAGCCTCTGGAGAAGCTTCCGGAAGGCATCGGCGCCCATTTGCCGTGCCAGCATGTCTACCACTGCCACTGCCTTGCTGGCTCTCAGCCGCTTCGCTGCTGCGTCGAGAGACACGAGCTCCGATGGGTGCAGCGCAAACGGCGCTGCAAACGGCTGTGGTGCCTGGGAGGATGATTGGGAGGAGGATGATTGCAGTGGCTGGGAGGAGGACTGAGACGCACATGCTTTCCACGCCGCTGCTGCTGCTGCCTCCACCCCGTACCCTCCTCTCCCTCCTCCTCTTCCCCCTCCTCCCCCTACTTCTCCTCCTCCCACCCCTTTTCCCCGGGCCTCTCCGCCCTCTCCGCCTCTCCCCTCCCCGACCCCAAGAGCAGCAGCCGCAGCAGCATGGGCAGCAGACGACGCAGCGACAGCAGCAGCGAGCGACGGGCGCGGGCACAGCGCAGCAGCGCCGTCAACATCAGCGGCGCACACGGCATCATTGGCCTTCACACGCCGGTAACTCGCCTCATTCCCGCCCAGGCACCGCTGCACGAACACCTGCACCAGGTGCCCTGCCAAGCCCTCCACGAGCCACTCGTCCGCAGGGCTTTCTGCCGAGATGAATGCGCCGAACCACTGGGATGCGAGCGCACGCACGAGGCGCAGGCGCGAGGAGAGCGCGGTGTGAATGTCCCGGTCGGTGACTAGGAGGCTGGAGTCTATGAGAACTAGTGCTGCTCCTGATACACACCGCCCTTCCAGCGGACACAGCGACCGCCGGCTACTGCTGCTGCCCCCGCTGCTTCCGCTGCTGCTGCTGCTCCGGGTCGGATCACTGCACTGACTGCCTCTCCCTGCTGCTGCCGCTGTTGCAGAATCAGCAGCAGCAGCGGCAGCAGAGACAGCAGGGTCGGGTTCGCCGTGGGCCTCTGGCAGGAAGAGCAGGCGGTGCGAGGGGAAGGGAAAAGGCGAGCCCATGTAGTCCTCAAACACTCGGAACGCGGCGTCGATAGTGGCGGTGGTGCGGGCGAGAGCACCGGACGCTAGCACGGGCTGCATGCAGCAGTGGGACAGCGCGGGGCAGCGCGGATCCCGGAGTTCCACGAATGGACCCACGGCGATTGCCACCTGGTGCGCTGCTATTGGTACAGGCATCTGGTAGGTGAAGGTGTGGAGTGGGGGGGAGGAGGGGGGCGGGTGTGCGGAGGGGAGCGGGACGGGGGTGTGTGCGGGGACAGGGTGCGAGTTGAGGGTGGTGGGTTGGGGCGTTGATGAGGCTCCACAAGCAGGACATACCTTACCACCCTCGCCTTCCCCCTTGCCCTCCTCACCCCCTTCCCCTGCCCCGTTCCCCACACCCTCCCCTCTCCCCCCCACACGGCCGCACAGTCCGCACCCGCCAGCTTCCCCCCCAGTCTCCCCCCCTCCAGGGGAGAGCGAGACAAGTGTGCCGGGGGCGATGGCGCGGAGGGGCAGGGGGACGGAGAGGGAGAGGAGGAAGGAGCAGCGGTGGCGCGGCGAGTCAACGCACGGCATCCAGCAGCGCGCCCTGCGCGGCACCCCCAGCACCGTGTGCATCCACCCCCCCGCGAAATGCACTCCGCCGCTCCCCCACCCCCCACTGCCGCCGCCGCTGCCGTTGCTGCTGCTCCTGGTGGTTGTGGTGGTGCTGAAGGGAGTGCGGGGTGAGGTGGGCGCCTGCTGCGGCGCTAGCTGGTAGTCCACTCTCACTCTCACCACCACCTCCGCTCCTGCTTCCCCGCCCTCGCCCTCTGCTGCTCCTGCTCCCTCCCTCTCTCTCTCCTTCTCTTTCTCTTTCTCCTTCTCTTTCTCCTTCTCCTTCTCCCTCTCTCGCTCCTTCTCCTTCTCCTTGCTCTCTGCTGCTTGCGCGTCTCCAGTGCTCGTTGCCCCGCCCGCGCTGCTTGCTGCTGCAACCCCTGCCGCTCCCCGCGCGTTTGCCTGCGCTTGCGCTTGCGCCTGCGCCTGCGCCTGCGCCTGCGCCTGTGCCTGCAGCGCTGCTGTCACAGCACGTGGCAGCCACACGACCAGCTCCGGTACGCGCTCCTCGTGCACGAGCCGCAGGTACTGCGCGTATCCGCTCTCCGCTGCGCCCTCCACCGTCCCATCCCACCCCTCCCCCATCCCCATGCCCGCTGCTCCGCCCCCTTCCACCCTCCGCGCTTGCGCTTCCCGCTCCGCTGCGCCTGCGCCCCTGCGCGGACGCTTTCCGCGCGCCCGCTTTGTCTCCTTGACGGCAGAACCTGATGAGATCCGCGCGCCTGCTCCTGATACCGTTCTCTCCGCGTCGCTGCCGCCACCATCACCGTCGCTCCCGCCACTAGATAACTCGATATCCACGTCTGGCCCTAGCCCTCTCTCCCCGCCCTTCTCCGCCCGTTGTCGCTCCGCTCGTTTAACTCCCGAAGATCTGCGCTTTCCCCCTTGCCTTTCCGCCCCGCCCTCGTCGCGCCCCCTGCGCTTAGATCGCGGGAGGGCGGGACGCAGCAGATAGAACGGCGCGGCCACGCCATCGACTGCCACGTGGCGGATGTGTAATCCGCGCGCGTGGAAGCACAGCGCGGGGCCCAAATCTCCCGCGTTCTCGCGGTCTCCCCCCGCCTCCTGTGCCTGCGCCCCCACCCGCGCTCCCCCGAAGTCACGCGCAACGCACTCGTCCAATGAGCGCGTCCGCGCGACGCCAGCGGAACCGGAAGCGCCTACCAGCGGGGGAGCGGAAGCCGCCTGCGATCTAGAGGGAGACTCAGGCGCAGCGGACGGATCGCGGGGCGGAAGAAGCGGAAGCTTGGCGGACGGCAGGGAAACGTGTAGTTCCGCGAAACCTGCGAGCGATTGGTTGGCGACATCGATGCGAAGGCATAACCGCTCGTGTAACACTCGGCTGGCTCCTATACCGCTGGCTGCCGCCGCAGATGCCGCCGCCTCGACAGCAGCTGCTGCGAGATTCGGCGACGAACAGGATAAGTGCGCGCGGTAATCGTGCGCGCGGTGACTAGGAAGAGCGTGGGTGGTGGACGGTGATTGGTGGATCGGGGTCGGCGACATGGCATCGTACAGAGGGAACGCGGGTTGTGTTGCAAACAAAGTTAGACGCTACGAGCATTAGCGGGTGGAGTAACTCAACAGTGTCATTGCTATTTATAGAACCACGGCCCGCTGCGTCAGTTGCGGAGCCGTGCTGACGAGGCACTGGTTAGAACCACGGCCCGATGCGTCAGCTGCGGAGCCGTGCTGACGAGGCACTGGTTAGTAGAAGCGTGGTGTGATGGAAGGAAAGGATCTGCGAAATGGAATCGATGATGGATCGTGGTGGGTAAGCCCTAAAATAGGTTACGAGGGTGACGACGGCGCGATGGAAGCACCGAGACCAGCACCGCTGACGAAGGACGTGATGATTCTTGCGCGGTTCAATTCGCAAGTTCAAGTGTTTTGTTTTTGTTACACTACTGAGTATATCGTATGAAAATGGGAAACTAAATGAGCCGTTGCACAAATGCATTGTGTCCCCACAAACACTTGAATTGCATGCCAAATATCATTGTGCGCAACATATGAACAATGGGGCGAGTATCATCATGATTCATGACATTTGAAACACCCTGAAATTGCATTACAAGTATCTGCCACAAGATTGTTCTGGCTTATTAAAGGTAAGTCGCCTATATCACTCGACAGACTCTGCTGCACTTTCCTCTCTGTGTGCTCATAGGGGTTTTCCCCATCTATAACATATATTGGCCACCTGGGCCCTCGCGTCCCATCCACGAGGCTTGTACCGTTTGGGGATGGCCGCGCCAGTTGATAACCGTGCTGCTACTGCTGCTCGTGCCACCAACACCGCTCATGCCATTGCTGCTGGAGCTTCCAGGCATGCCCGGTGACGTGGCACTGTACACGTCGCCAGTGGTGTTCCCAGTGGCAGACCCTAAGAACGGCATCTGGTTTGTGATTCTGGTGGGCAGCCCCTCACATGAGCTGGACACCTGGTGGATTTGGAGGGTATAACAACACATGAACGAATGCAGGGGAGGGGGAGCACATAACACGGATTAGTGATCCCTTCAGAGGGATGAGAGGGGCAATAGAAGCTCAAAGAGCAGGAGCAAACAAAGAGACTGCAAGGTGAGCAAACAATGGATGCTCGGGAGTTTAGAGGCACGTGGCAGTGGGGTAGTGTGTTATCCATCGCATACACACTCTCTCTACTCTCTCCCTCACTATACATACCTCTTCGTCATCATCATCCCCAAAGAGAGGATTCGTTGCGCCCTCATCCAGCAAGCTTGATGCCGCCATGCAACCCAGCAGGCTGGCAGTCACTGTGCCGCTGCCAATGCCGCCGCCGCTCGCAGTCACACTGCCGTGATGCCCGCTGCTGCTGCTGCTCTCTGCGTGTGTTGCTGCCATGGCATGGTTGCTGCTGCGGTCACTGCTCCGCCTCATTGCTGCTGCAACCGCAGCCGCCCCTCCCCCTCGGCTCCCATACAAGCCGCTGCTTGCAACGCCACCGCTGCTGGCGCCACCGCCACCACCGCTGCTGGCAGTGCTGTGAGAGAGAGACGCACCCATCATGCCCACATGCCGGTTACCCGCACTGCTGCCTCCCCCTCCTGCATGCCCTGCCCCACTGCCTCCTCCACTTGCCCTGCCTGCAGCTATCCTCGCTGCTGCTCCCACCCCCATCCCTGCCACCACCCCCACACTCTGCTGCTGCTGCTGCTGTCTGGCTGTGCGTGCAGGTGACGCATGGCGTGTAGTCGCACTGCCAAACGCCACACCTGCTGCTCCTGCTCCCGTTCCTGCTGCAGACTGCCTGCCAGTGCGCGCAGGGCTAGCAGAGCGCACAGGACTGGAAGAGCGGGCCTGGCTGGCGCCACGCAGGGGACTCACGCCCCTCCTCGCACTCTCCCCACTCGCCCCACCCCCTCGTGCTCCCCCTGCCCCTCCTCCACCACCCCCCCCACTGCCTGCCCGCCCTACTACAGGACTTGATGCCCGCACCCGCTGCTGTGCCTGCACCTGCGCATGCTGCTGGGTTCTAAATGGCTGTGGTGACGCCGATGCAACCTTACCTCGTGCTCCTCCCCCTGCTCCTCCGCCCCCTCCTCCCCCACCACCTCCTCCCGCACCTGCCCCACCACCACCTCCGCCGCCCCGTGCCACGCGCTCTTCCCTCAGCCGGCCCCCTTGGGGCACTCGGCCATGGGGCAGCCCGTAGCTCTTCCAGAAGTCCACGTCTTGACGCCCTGACTCACCTCCTCCTGCACCTCCTGCTCCCCCTCCTGCTCCTCCTCCTGCTCCTGCTCCTCCTGCCCCTCCTGCCCCTCCTGCACCTCCACCTCCTTCTCCACTGTATGCCGACCCCTCGTCACCCCCTTTCATCTCCTCCCCACCACCCACACTCCCTCCCACATCCCCCTCACCCACAACCACCACACTCCCTCTCAACGCCACACCGTCAACCACCGCTCCACCTACTCCCCCCTCTACCCCTCCATCCTTCCCATGGGCCGCAGCCATTTTTTCCTCCATGGCTTTCACAGCCGCCTGCAGCTGCTCCGCTGCAACCCTCATCGTCTCCGCATCTGCTTCCAGCTTCGCGTTCCTCTGCCGAACCTCCTCCAAGCCTGCCAGCTCAGCCTCCATGGCTACCAGCCGCCCCGCCAGCAGCACACGCCGCTCCTCCACCACCTGCTTCTCCAACCTCTCTTTAATCAGCTCCCCTCGCAGCTTCTCAAACTCTTTCTTCTTGTCTCCTCCGCCTGCGCCCGCGCCCTGCTGCTGCTGTGCCAGCCTCCGCTGCTCTGTTTCCAGCTCCAGTCGGGCCTTCTCCACGCCTGCTGCTTGCTTCCTCGCCTCCTCCACCTGCCGCCGCAGCGCCGCCTGCTCGGCTCGCAGCACTGGGATCTCCTCTGCGTGCCTCTCTGCTCTCCTCTCCGCCTCTGCTGCTTGCTGCCTGGCGGACTGCAGCTGGGTCTCAAGCTCCCGCACCCGTTTCGTGTACTCATCAGTCCGCTGCTCGCTGGCTTGCCTCGCAGCTCGCTCTGCCTGCACCTCTGCCTTCAACCGCTCCACCTCTGCGTGCAATTTCTGCACCTTCTCCTCCCACACGCTGCTGCTGCTACCATCCGAGCCTCCCTCTTTCGAATCCGCCCTCTTTTGCTGCTGCTGCTGCTGCTGCTGGTTGTTGTCAGTCTCAATGTCACTCCTGCCTGCCTTGTCGGCTGTGCTGCCATCGCCAGTGCTGGTACCTGTCGCCACACCAGTGGCAGCAGCAGTGGCAGCACCGGTACTAACCCAGCTCCACCGCTGCATCTGACTCATCAGCCTCCTCGCCGGCCCCTCTCCCACCCCCTTCTCTCCTCCACCACCACCCCCCTCCCCTCCCACTGCAGCAGCACCACCACCAGCACCCACCCTCACCTTACTCAGCTCCCCTTCAACCCTCTCCACCTCTCTCTTCGCCCGCTCCGCCTCCGCCCTCGCTGTCTCCACCTCTCCTCTCATCCTCTCCGCCTCGCCCCTCACCTCCTCCCTTTCTGCTTCCCATGCAGCCCTCTCGCGCCTGAACCCCTCCTCTACGCGTATAGCCCGCTGCACCGCCTCCTCCTTCTCACCCAGCAGCACATCCAGCCGTGCCCACAGCTCCTGCTCCACTCCACTCCCTGCCATCTCCCGTGCCTCCTGCTCCCCTCCCCCTGCTCTCCCCTCTGCCTTACCCTCCTCCCCTCGCGCACCACCGGCACCCGCATCCCTCCCCCTCAGCCGCTCCACTTCCCTTTCCAGCCGTCTCCTCTCCGCCTCCACCTCAACCACCCTCTCCTCCACCTCCCTCTTCTCCCCCCTCACCCTCTCCACGCTCTCCCTCATCCTCTCCTCTGCTGCCCGCACAGCTGTCGCCAGCCTGGCGGCATTCCCAGTCAGCGCTGCCACCTCAGCCTCCAGCTGGACCTCTCTCTCTTGCACGTGTCGTCTCTGCGCCAGGCTATGCGCTAGCTCCTCTTCCACCGTCCTCAGCGCTTCTTCCAGTCGTGCTGCCCTGCCTTCCGCCTCCCGCCGTTGCCTCTCCCTGCCCTCCGCCACCTGCTGCTGCTCCGCGCACCGTTCCTCCTGCTCCCTCCGCGCCTGCTCCGCCTCCCCCTGTAACCGCGCCACCTCCCCCGCCAGCCCCTGGACCTCCTGCTGCAGCTTCTCCGCCTTGCCCCTCTCCGCTTCCGCCTCCGCTTGCGCCTGCTGCGCCTTCCGCCCCGCCTCCGCGCTCTCCGCCCGCTCCGCCTGCTCCTGCAGCACTTCCCGCAGCGACGCTAACTGCACTGACAGCTCTTCTTCTCTCACGTCCGCCGCTCTCCGCGCATCCCGCGCGCCCTTCGCCTCCTCCTCCGCCTCCCGCTTCCCCCTCTCCAGAGACTCAACCGCCCTCCTCATCGATTCTACCTCCCCCCATGCGCGCTTCGCCTCCGCTTCCGCCTTGCCTGCTTGCGCCAGCGCTGCTGCGCGCGCCTGCTTCACCTCCCCTTCCAATCTGTCCCTCTCCGCCTCCAGACTCTCTTTCTCCCCCTGCACCGCTCTGCACCGCTGCTGCAGCCCCTCCACCTGGTTCCCCAGCCGCCGCACCTCCCCCTCGAGCTCCTCCCGCACCTCCGCCAGCAGCGCTGCCTGCTGCCGCGCGCGCGCCTCCGCCTCCCCCTTGACCCTCTCCTGCACGCGCACGCGCTCCATCCCCACGCGCAGCTCCTCTTCCAGCTCCCCCACGCGCGATTCTAGGGGCGTCAACGCGCGCACGCGGTTGCCTAGCCTTTCCGCGCTCATTTCCGCCAGTCGCGCCTGCCCCTCCGCGCGCCTCTGCGCCTCCTCTGCCTCGCGCACGGCCCTCTCCGCGTCCGCCACCTGCTGCGCCAACTGCTCCGCGCGTTTCTCCGCCTCCTCCGCCCGCTCTCTGCCACGCTGCGCTGCCTCTTCCAGCTCCGCGCACTGCTCCTCCAGTCGCCGCGCTTGCGCTTCCGCCTCTTGCGCCTGCTCTTCCTGCCGCCGCAGCTGCTGCTGCATCTGCTCCACCTGCTCCGCGGATTCCCCGCTCTCATCCACTCCGCCCTCCTCTCTCCGCCGCATCCCCCAGTCGTCTCCGCCCTTACCCCGCCGCTCCTCGCGCCTCTCCCACCGCTGCAGCACGCTAACCTGCACCTGAAGCTCCTTGATCCGCGCTTCCCGCTCCGCCACATCTCTCCGCGCTGCGCTCAGCCCCGCCGCCAGCTGCAGGCTCTCCTGCGTGAGCTCCTCCACCTCGCGCTCCCCCTCCTCCACCCGCGCGCGCAACTCCCGCAATTCCTCCGCGCTCCCCGCGCCTGCGCTCTCCCCGTTCCCGCTTCTTCGGGAATCGCTGTGTGCGCGCAGTTGTTCTTCCGCCTCCTCCCGCTCCGCCTCCGCGCGCCGCAGCTTAGCCTCGAGATCTCCGCGCTCCTCCACAAGGCGCTGCAGTCGGTCCCGCCACGCGCGCTCCTTCTCTTCCGCGGCCCCATCCATTCGGCGCAGCGCGCGCTCGCGCTCCCTGCCCGTCGCCGCCAGCTCCTGCGCCTCGCGGCGCGCCTTGCTGGCGTCTTCCGCGGCTTGGCGCGCTTCTTGCGCGAGCGAGTCGTTGGTGGTCTGGCGAGGAGACAGGCACGTGACACGGGCGTGTGACGGAAAGAACTGGTGAGGCCAAGAAAATCTAAAAAAGTTCTGCTGAATTTTCTGGTGGGGCGAAAATGAAGGTGGAAGAGGGAAGGCTGACAAAGTGGGACCCTCCTCGCTCTACACCTCACCATTCCCACAACTCCCTCCCTCTCTCCCATAACTGCTCTCTGCTCTCCCCATTCTCCACTCCCCTCCCCTCAAACTGCGCGTCCCAGTAGCAGTTGCGCCGTCTCCGCGCGCTCACCCGCGCCATCTCCGCCGACTCACCCGCAGCAAGTCCACTTGAGCCGTCAGGCGCGCGCTCACGTCCTTGTAGTACCGCACCTCCTCCCGCGCGCGCGACGCCTCCTCCCGCGCGTGTGACGCTTCGTCCCGCGCGCGCGACACCTCGCCCCGCAACCGCGATGCCTCCTCCATCGCCTCCCGCCCGCTGCTCTCTCCGCCGTCCGTCGAGCTATGTGTGCCTTCCCCCCCGCTCCCCTCTCCCCCGCTCGCTTCCCACCCGCTCCCCCACAGCCCGCTCCCGCTGCCGTTGCTGCTGCTGCTAGTCGTTGTCCCCAACGCACCCAGCGTGCCGGTCCCCGCTCCTCCGCTTCCGGCTCCTCCGCTTCCGCCTGCGCTCTGCGCCCGGCGCAACTCTTCCGCCAGTCGGTCGCGCTCCTCTTCCACCTTCGTCTGCTGCGCCCTTGCGCGCGCAACCTGCGCCCGCAGCCGCTCCACCTGCCACCCCGGAACGCGCGATTCCTCCGCATCGCGCGCAGCCGCGCCCTCCGCCGCCACCAGCGCGTCGTTTCCCCCTTCAACCCCCCCGCTCACGCTTCTGCTCCTGCTGATTCGTGCTCTGGCCTCCGCTCCCCGCATCTCATCCGCTTCCCCCGCGTGCGAGGCGGAACTGCCTGCGGACTCCGCTTGACCGTAGCCACTCACCCGCGCCCTGTCCTGCGCCACCAGCGCCCGCGCAGGAGGTTGCGCGGGAGCATCCTGTCCGCTTGCGCCCACTTTCCGCTCCGCTTGCGCCAGTGTCGTTTTCACCTCTGATACCATTCCGCCCGCCTGCTGCTGCTGCTGAAGATCCAGCAGCAGGGTTCTCCGACTGACGGGCGATTGCGCTCCGCGGAACGAGCCGACGGCGGACCACCCGCCGTGGCTGCTTGCGCAGCTGCTGCTGCGGCTTATGGACGCGCTCGTGCTGCTTCCGCGCGCTATGCTCCATCCCCCCGCGCTGCTGCTTCCGCTTACACTCCCGCCCCCCACGCTTTCAGCAACTCCGCCCACGCCCGCGCCCTCTCCCCGCCAGCCGAGTCCGCCGGCTCCGCTCATGCGCGCATTGCCAGCTGCGCGCAAGGGGGAGCTTGGGCGGGACGAGGCGCGGGTGGGGTGAAGGAACGGCGGGGGGTCGAGAGGCGGAGACACGTCAGACGCCGAAGAATGAAGTGGCGAGGCGCGAGGGCTGCTGAGGCTGCGCATTGCGCCTGCCGGCGGCGGAAGGGCTGATGGCGCATCACTGAACTCGCGGTCGCTGTTCCGCGCGTAGTCGGAGTCGTCCTTGCGCGGAGGCAGATGGTGCGCGCGGAGGGCGGGCGGCGGGGAGAGAGAAAAATCAGGCGCGGAGGGGCCAGAAGATACCTGCGAGTGCGGAGGATAGGGGCGGGTTGCGGAAGGCGAGATTCGATAAACGTGGTGTTGGGAACGACGGGAGGAGTATGCAGCGGAACAGGTGGCGCGTGCGCAATGTGGAATTGAACGTGGGGAGCCAACAAGCTGAGGCTAGGCGGGCAACGTGGTGCGGAAGGGATACCTGCGCGAGAGTTGGCGGGGTTCGCGGGGAGTGTAGCGAGCGAGGAGGCGTGGATGGCGCGGTCAAGGAGCGCGCCGAGCCCGTGAAGAGCTGCAACTGGACGGAGGCAGCGGAGGTGAAAGGGAGAGAGAGGGAAGAGAGAAGAAACGGAGGGAGCGGAAGAGAGGCGCTAGTTGAAGTGGAGGAGGCAAGAGGCAATTGCGGCGAACGGGACCCCAGCCGAGACTAGCGGTATGGTGCGCAAACACCCCCCCACCCCTGCAGAAGCTGAGTAGGTTGGCGACGACAGAGGCCCGAAGCACACTGTTCACCACTTGCCCCCATTACCTCCTCACAACACGTGAGACACTTCTGAGAATTCTCGGAAACCAGATTCTATGAAGCGGCACACAAGCCGGTTACCTATTGACCTCTTACGGACGTTGCTCCCGCGCAAGGGGGAACCAACGCCCCCAGCTGCGCGCAGCGTACCTTGGCGAGCGGAGCAGCGGACGCGACTGCGGGTTTGGCGACGGGCGTGGCGGGCAGAGAGTCCGCGGGCTCTGACGCCGCGCTGCTGCTGTACCGCGCCGACCGCGACCGCGCGCAACCCGCACCCGCCGCCGCGTACATGCGCTCCTCCGCCTCGCTCTCCTCGTCCGCCGCGCCCCCGCTCTCGCGCTCGTCTCCGCGCTCGTCGTCGCTCTCCGTGTCGTACGGCCGGTGCCGCGTGAAGGATAGGGAGTGCGGTGAACGCGGTGCCGCGCCGTCGACCGACTCGGATTCGTCGCTGCGAGAAGAAGGCGGCGAGGGGGAGGATTACAGTTAGGATTCGTGCATACAGGTAGGCAAGGTGAGCGCAGAATCGTTGCAATTACAGAAGCGCGAATAGTCGGTCTGTGCTGTGTGGACAGAATCGAATCGGCAGAACGAGTTGGAAAAGGAGAACGGAAGAGAGAGGTGTGGGGGGGGAAGAACGCGCGGGGAGGCGGGGGGAGGCGCGGGGAGGTGGGGGAGGGAGAGAGAGGGGGCTCACTCGGAGTGGGAGTTGGGCGTGTGACGCGTCTCGAGAGGGATGGAGTGAACTGTCACCTGCACGAACCATGGCACACGCACACACGTGGATGCCACGTGAACGTCTCAGCGGCGAAGGATAGCTAGGAGAAGAAAGAGGAAAATGAAAGAGAAAGTGAACAAATGGAAAAGAAAAGAAGCGCGTGTGGCGATGTGTTGCGCGCCTTGGGCCGCGCACGACCGTTTCGATCAGAATTTTGGGAGTCGACGTACATGCAGCACGGATCCCGCGTCGCAGCAGCGCAACGGCAATGATCGCTGGTCCAGCTGCGAAAAGGCGGCGAAATCCGCGATATTAAGCGACGTCTCGCCAAGAATGGACGCCTTGGAAGGACCCTGGGTAGACAGGAGGCAGAAAGCCGGCGAGAGAGGGCGGTATAGATAGGACGTGAGACTGAGTGGGATTCGAGCGTCGAGAGTGTGATTGAATGGGAAAGCGTCAACATACGTAGGAGATTGGCCTTGGTGCATTGAATGTTAGCATTAAAACGCAAGGGAAGTGGGAGGCGAGGGGAGTGCGATGTGAGAGGAGTGCGAGGCGAGTGGGAGACGGACCGAGGCAACGACGAGGCGGTAGTGCTTGGCGTCGAACGCCTTGCTGCCCTTGGCGCGCGTGAGCTTCACCACCTCCGTCAGCGTGTCCGCCCACTGACACGCGCCGTTCTTCACGGCCACGCGGCTCGTCTGGCTCTGAAGGCGCCCCGTGTCCTGATAGAGCGACACGTGGAGGCTCTCATGGCCTAGCGGTGGTAGCTGCATGGGAAAGAGGGGGAGGTGGAAGGACGATGAAAAAATGGGAATGAAGGCACCACGTACTATGTAGAGATATGAGTCAATAACGATGCGCATGAGTTATTGAAGTTTTTTAAGGAAGAGGAGAATCTGTGACACGGGTTAGGGGAATGAGATGGTAGGAAGGAATGGGAGCATACGCGAGTGGCATGGAAGCGAAGCCGGAACTCGAATTTCTCCTTAGTGCGAGAACGCAGGCCTTTGAACATCCTTCCCTTCCTTGTTTGTTCCGTAAGAATCAAGCTGCAACACGACTGACAACGTTTCTATGTGCTAATCTAGGCCCTTCCTGCGTCAGGTATACATACTGCGCTATATCCACATTCTACGGGTATTCCGGCGTTCCACACGCATCGAGACAAGGGAAATTATTCACTAGCGCTAATGATAGTTTCCCTATCCACAAACTCTTAAGACATGCCGCGTCAGTCAAGCCTTCCAGTTGCTAGGATTCCTTGATGTTCCGCTAGTGTATGCACTTGAGAGCGTTTCTGTCTCTCTTGTGGCGGCAACGAGTTCCTCTTGGAAATTCCGCCTGACAAGTGAGGGAGGGAGGGAGGCTGCTTGCTGTTGTGCCTTTTTGACGGAGAACGATTACTGTATGAGAGCCACGATTCTCGGGAGTGACTTTTTGACGGAATCGGGCTGGCGTCGCCCTTCCTTTTTCGCCTTGGCCGGCCCCTCGAGGATAGCGTCGTGTTGTAGGCTGCCACGTGGATAGTACGGCGGCTCGTCAATGGGCCTCGAGCAACTCTTGGGCTGGAGGTGTGGGGTGTGAAACCTCGCTTGACGCGCTTCGGCTCGCATGGATTCCTCGCTCGACGGATTCAGGGCTGATCCTTGCCAGAGAACGGGCTGACACCAGCAATTCCCACGACCGGCCGACGTGGTAACACGGCGCGTTGGCGATGTCGCGAACTCGCAAGGTGGGAGCTGGGGTCAAGCCTCCTCGAAATTTGCACGGGTGGCGCCAAGAGGCACGCACTTTGCGTGCCTCTCGCTGCGACGAAAGTGGTTGACTTCGAGAGCCGCGTTCCACGTCCCTCGAATCTTATATCTAGTTCACCATTTGGTACACCATCATCATGCTAGGCCCCTTACGAACAATATGTTTCAAGAGAGTGACATTAATCCCATCTACTGCTCGCATCTACTTCCGGAAGTGCCGTTCTCCCACTGCCTTGGCCTCCCTCCCCCGCTCCGCCCCCACCTCCAGCCTTACCTCGTGGATCCACGCTCATGCTCCGCACCAGCTGCACTGAATCGTCTCCACCCTCCATCCCAACCACCCCTCCGCTTGCTCTCGCCCTCTCACTTCCTCCCCTCA